ATAAATTCCAACGGGTAACTATTATTTAATAAAAACTCTTATACTAATTTCTAATTCTTTCTATAAAAATAGATGTGCAAAAGATACAAAACATACAATGCATAATGAACTTCTTTTTCGACACATCAGATGTTACGATAGAAATCAAGAGACACGGTAGTGTCTCGCGACCAGTTAAGGGCGTAGCGGAGACACCGTGTATCTTAACGCGAGTCGGACATTTGAGTCTTTATAATATTTCGAATCCTCAATAATGGCTGAAGCAATCGAGTTTATACTAGACTTAATCGATAGATTGAGTTCGAATTATATAATAAAAGTGTCTTTATTTCTGCTCTACGTGATTTGTAAGCAGAGATATATAAATGCAAAGTCGAAATATGAAAAATTTCTATTAAGAAACGTCCCCGTCATCATTATCATCATTATCATCATCGACCACGCATACATAGTAGTATCGTGCTACACGTATTCACACGTATACAACACATGCGTACACATATATCACACGTACACAACACATGCAAGATGCATGTAGTGGTAATTTTGTCCATCTCGCACGTTTTACAACAGATGGCGATAGTGACGCTCCGCCATATCGGCAGCGTGCGGGGTTATGTTGGCTAACTCTCTCTCTCTCTCTCTCTCTCCTCTCTCTCTCTCTCTCTCTCTCTCTCTTTCTCACACACACACCGCACACACACACACACTCTCTCATTCTCACTCACTCACTCACTGTTCGTCTTGTGTACTTATTTAGTACATTCATGATCGGCAGCGTGCGGGGTTATGTTGGCTAACTCTCTCTCTCCTCTCTCTCTCTCTCTCTCTCTCTCTTCTCACACACACACGCACACACACACACACACTCTCTCATCTCACTCACTCACTCACTGTTCGTCTTGTGTACTTATTTAGTACATTCATGATTAAACATCTATATGTATTAATGTGAAATTTACTTACAATTACTTGAAATATTCAATCTCTAAAGTGTTTATCTTATAAGATAGACAAAAAAATCTGAGTAAATAATAAGAAAAAAAACAAGGATTATTATTGTCTTAATTTTTTATCAATTAAGTACTCTCAACTATCCAATAATTAAATAAATACGTACAAATGTGCGCGCGTGTACACACATACACATATTGATATATTAAAGAGATTGAAGGAGAGGAAGGAGAAGATAAAAATTTAAATATTCACATATATTTTCAATATTATATATGAATTTATAGTTTACATATCTAATTAATAATGAATTATATTAAACATATTAAACATCTAATTATATTAAACATATCAAAATAAAGACATACATGTATTTATCAAATGATAAAATTATTGAATACAGACTTAAAAATTTATTAAACATAGACTTAAAAAATTAATTAATTAAACATATTCCAAATTTAGAAAAAATAAACTTTATTTATATATGCAACGCTTTTTAAACTAAATTTTAAATTCTATTTTATATTAGACAATTATCTCAATCAACATTTACGTCCACATTAGCTGCACTGCAGACTACCTCTACAGCCACATTATCTGCTCCGCGGATATAGCGTTATGCCAATACGATACATTACATGTACTTACTTACTTGCCTTTACTGTACCAACTCTTGTTCTTTCCACGTAATCATGTTTTTACAGTTATCGTTTGCTGTATATCTTCCAGCAAACTTTATTTCGTGTGAAGTGTATTTATTAATTAAATCTCTGCGAAAGATTGAGAAGATGAAGGGATAATTCAAACTATGAGACATGGTTACCCAACAGCACCGATAGATTGCAAAAACATTACAACAATCTTTCACCGCAATATTGCAATATTGCAAATTCACTGCAAAATGTTGCTACATCATTGCTGTTGAATTGCAGCAATGTTAAAATGTCCGCTTTTTGGAAGATTTGCAACAAAATATTACAACAATATTGCAATGTTATGAATTTGCAATAATGCATTGTTATTGCAACCATAATCTAATGTTGCATATACAGGTATATATACATGTAAATAAATCATTAATGAAAATACGTTGTAGTTAATTTATATATATTACAATATAAATAATAGAATTTGGATTACATGCAATATTTCCGAAATATTATGTCATGTTGCTACAAGTGTGCTGGAATTTTGTGCACCTATATTTCTGCAATGTCTTTATAATGTTGCATTGCAACTTGCAACATTGCAAAGTTGACAATATAATTGCAATAATCTATGCTGTATGGTTACATGGAAAAGACAAGAGTTGATACAATAATAAAGACATACATGTATTTGTATCCTGCTGGCATAAGGTTATAGAAGTTGATTGAGATTGAAAAATAATAATGAAAATAATAAAAAAAATAAAGACACATGTATTTGTATCGTGCTGGCATAAAGTTATAAAAGTTGATTGAGATTGAAAATAATAATAAAAATAATTAAAAAAAGGAAATATTCAATCATCATTTAAAAGCATATTTGAAATCTGTAGAATAAACAGTTTTTGCAAAAAATGTGGAGCATTTGAGCTCTAGTAAGTCTAAAAATAAATGTAAACATCAATTAATAATAACTGATGTTATATATATATTATATATATAAACCAATTTGTTGCAATATTCACTATAAAAGGTTGTAAGGGTAAGATGGCTAAAAGTGAATAATTTAAAAGATAGTTAACATAATTTTACATAAACTGAAATATTTCATAAAATAAAATATTTGTAATATTTCGAAGTTTATGTAAGATTATGTAGTAAAAATTATACCTTTACAACTTTTTATAGTAAATATTGCGAGGAATCGATTTATATGAGAAAAATTAAGGTAATTCTATTTTGAAAATATAAGTGACCTTTAAATAACCTTGAAAATCGCCGTTTAGGAAAAAGTCTGTGTCAACTTTTTCTTTTTCGAAATCCTGCAACTTTTATCTAAATTTAATAGAAAATGTATAAAAAATGCTCGACATTAGTACACACACACACACACACACACACACACACACATATGGGTAAATTTATATAAATAGGGTGCTTTAGGAGGAATGATCAGGATTCTAGGATATGATTGTACACATCATTTTAAGCAAAGAAGTTTAGATAAACATGTTTAATAATTGTTCTATTCCGGTCATAAAAATATACAAAAATGAATGATATAATCTCTAAAAACTCACCTTTAAAAAAAGGTAAAAAAAGGCGACCAGTTAAGGGCACGCCATTAACAAAAATTATCCATTGCAAACCCATGTAGAATCCTATCCTATTGCAAACCCATGTAGAATCCTATGAAAAATTAATCATTGCAAACCCATGTAGAATCCTAGGCAAAATTAACCATTGCAAACCCATGTAGAATCGTACCCATTGCAAACCTATGTAGAATCCTATGAAAAATTAACCATTGCAAACTCATGTAGAATCCTATGAAAAATTAACCATTGCAAACCCATGTAGAATTGTATTAAAAATTATCCATTGCAAACTTATGTAGAATCCTACATTGCAAACCCATGTACAATAGAATTGTATGAAAAATTATCGATTATAAACCCATGTACAATCGTAACAAAAGTAATGAAATAAAAAAAAATTGCGCCAAGTGAAAGTAGAAACTTGTACCAGTGGAAAATTAAAGTTGCAGACATATATAGAGTCGTATAATGAATCAGTAAAAATTTAAATTTGCAAATGTAGAATCGTACCATAAAAAAACTTATCTTTTAAAAAAAAAGATAAACAAGATGCCAAGTCCATGCGCCATGTGAAAAAGAAATAAAAAAATTTTAGTTAAAAAAACTGGGAGCGCTGCTAAATAATATTCTAACAATATTAAAATTAAATTGTTACTTTTAAACTCATTACAGTTAAAATATGTTTTGTGTTTAAATTAATTAATGTTACTTTAAGGTGCATTGTAATTTTGAAACTTAGCAGCGCGCCCAGTTTTTTTAACTAAATTTTTTTATTTCTTTTTCACATGGCGCATGGACTTGGCATCTTGTTTATCTTTTTTTTAAAAGATAAGTTTTTTATGGTACGATTCTACATTTGCAAATTTAAATTTTTACTGATTCATTATACGACTCTATATATGTCTGCAACTTTAATTTTCCACTGGTACAAGTTTCTACTTTCACTTGGCGCAATTTTTTTTATTTCATTACTTTTGTTACGATTGTACATGGGTTTATAATCGATAATTTTTCATACAATTCTATTGTACATGGGTTTGCAATGTAGGATTCTACATAAGTTTGCAATGGATAATTTTTAATACAATTCTACATGGGTTTGCAATGGTTAATTTTTCATAGGATTCTACATGAGTTTGCAATGGTTAATTTTTCATAGGATTCTACATAGGTTTGCAATGGGTACGATTCTACATGGGTTTGCAATGGTTAATTTTGCCTAGGATTCTACATGGGTTTGCAATGATTAATTTTTCATAGGATTCTACATGGGTTTGCAATAGGATAGGATTCTACATGGGTTTGCAATGGATAATTTTTGTTAATGGCGTGCCCTTAACTGGTCGCCTTTTTTACCTTTTTTTAAAGGTGAGTTTTTTATATGATTCACGCCGGACACCGATCGCGGTGATATCACTGTTTTCGTTCTTGTATCATCTCGGTGAAATTCGGCGTATTCCGAAAACACGGACGAGTGGGGAAATGAGCCTCGACGGTTTCCATCGATGTGTCCGTGATATACTTCTGTTACAACAGTCGCGCGAATAACAAGTAAGACCTTCACAACAACCGGCGAGCGAACAAACGAACATTGTACATCGATCTACTCGGCACCGCAACAATAAATCTCGATCTTGAGAATTAAATTTGATTGCATATGTTACGTGGATTTCCCCGTCACATCACAGTTTGGCGAGACAATACAATTAAGAGAATTACGGACATCAAAATACTCGCATCACGCATACGAGATCACATTTTCTCGTACAATAAGCGATTAATAATATAAGCAAGTAATTTGGGCACTTATGGTAAAGTATATATAAATTGTCAGACACACACACACACCACACACACACACACACACACACACTATATTGTGTATTTGTGTAACAAATATATATTTTATAAATCTTTTGTATATATTTATATATGTATAGCAATTATATTACATAAGTAATAGTCATATATATATTATTTATTAAGATAGTTTACTTTTTAATTAAAAATACAACTACGTATTTATTTTTCATTTTTTTAATCAAATTTTAATCGACTTATATATTTATATACTTAGTTGTTACTTTAATTTTAATTAATACTAATTTAAATAATTATTATTTTGCAGACACTTATAAAAAAGCGCATCAAAAGGCAAACAAAACCAAAAGTACAAACATTCTTACTTCTAATAATGAAGAGTTGAAAGAGAAAAGAAAACGTAATACAAAAACTAAAAAACGCAATAACAAATCTGAAAGTGAATCGTCCTTCTCTGAAATAGATAGATCATCATCAGATGATGATGCACTATATCCTGACGTTCCAAATTTTAACGAACAAATTGACTCAAACAATAGTAAGTAAAAAATATGATGTTGGTATAAGATATTATAATTATGTAATAAAAAATTCATTAAGATTATATTTTGTAAAAAATATTTATAATAAAAATAATTAATATTAAAAAATACAGAAATATAAGAAAACATATAAAAAACAAATAAGAAAAATTTAAGATTTTAATTGCACTTTTTCTTGATATAGCTTTAAACCAGTACTTACTTAAAATTTGTAACAGCTATTAATGTAGAAAAGAGAATATAATTATATGTAAAAAGATATATATTTAATTTATATTTTTCTAGGAAAGAAAAATCAAATAGAAAATAACACTCATAAGTTCAAAGTTACTGTTGATACTATTTCTAATTCTGGTACTAGTACTTCTATTTCTAATATTGTTGAGTCATATCATAAAAACCCGGCTTTGGAATTAAATTCTGGTAAGAAAGATAGTTCGTATAATATATTATAATTTATTACATAAGATATACGTATATATTGTAATAAAATAAATACAATTTAAAAATTTAAAAAAATGGTATATATATGTAAATAAAATATTAAAAAAAATATTACTAAACAATAATTTATAATTAATTATTTACATTTTAGAATTTGGAAAACGGATTTGTAGAGAATTACACATTCTCAGTTTGAAAATGGATGATATTTTCGAAGGTATTAATGTTCTACTAAAAATAAAGCAGATCTAGTACAAAATGTTGTATGTAATGAAATTCCCGAAATTATGCAATCATTTCCTGTAAATGATAATTCTTTGGCTGAATTGGAGAACTGGTTAATGACATCTGAAAATAATAAAACAATTTTGGTAAAAGAAATTAAAATATTCTTTCTACTATTGTAAATAAAGTATAAATAGTATGACAAATTATATGTATATATATATTTTAATAAGATAATTTATACTCAATTTAGTAAAAGAATATTTTAACTTGATTATATGTGTGTATAATTGTATCTTATATTATTATATTTAAATATTTTATAAAGACTACATATATATTTATATATATATATATATATATATATATATATTTTTATATATAATTTCAAGATTTATAAAAAGATCGGTAAAAATTATATTATATTTAATATTTAATATTTGTATTTTATTTTTTATTATATTTTTATATTATATTATTATATTTAAAATATAAATAAATATAATGATCTTCTTGTTTTAGTCTCAAAATTTAAGTCGCATTGAAGGATGTACCGTTAAAGAAATCGTTCAAAGAATTATGTATCGCATTTTTACCTACGAAGTCGGTATGTCTTACTCATGGAAAGGGGCAAAGAAAAAGAAAGTTTTCAAAATTTAGCTGTAACGTCTGTAATTCTCTGTAAGTTGATTTTATAAAATAAATTATGTTTTAAAGTTTTTGTTTTTTCCAATTTTTTAACAAAAATAAATAATAAAGTGCTTTTTAAATAAAAATATATTAAATAATATTGCTTAATATTTTAAAAACAAAACAAAAATATTTAAATTTATGTAGAATTTTGTACAAAAGTACTAATAAAAAAATATAAAAAAAAGTAGAAACTTGTACCAGTGGAAAATTAAAATTGCAATATATATTAAATCATACAAATTTATTGAAATTTTGACCTAACTGGCCAATACAATTCAATTAGAAACACTACGTTTCGACCCTTAGGTACGGGTCCTTTTCAAGTGTAACTGCACAATAAAAATATACAATGATTAAGATATGAAACAATAATTTACAAAATTGTTAACAAAGAAATTTAAAATAATATAAAAAAAATGTAATGTACCTTTCAAGATGTTGATTCGACAGCAGTAAAATTACTAATGTTAAACCGGAGACAAATAAATCAATTTAAGTCAAACGTTAAAAACAATAATATCAAAGTTTGACAATACAACGAAATAAATAAATAAATAAATAGACAATCATATACTGTTGATCAACTTATCATAAATCGGATTTAGATTTTCTGTGTCCTTTTGCAAATTAATGTTATTCTTATATTATTTAATAAAAAACATCTCCGCTAATTCTCTCTTCTTTCTATGTTTTTCGCAATGCAAAATCCTAGGTTCCATCCACTTAAAATCATGGTCATATTTTTTTCGATGTTTGCTAATTACGTTAAAATTGCTACGATGTTGTTTAATATTTCTACAATGTTCGTTTACGCGTGTAGCTAATTGTCTTTTTGTTTGCCCTGTATATGTTACATTGCAATCGTTACATTTTATCAGATACACGTCAGTTCTTTTCATATGATTGATCTTATCTTTACCTCTCTTGATTAATCTATTTAATTTTTTCGGGATAGTATAAACAATGTCGAGGCCACATTTTTTTAACGCAATACTCAGATTTTCGCTCAAGTTTTTTATATAAGGTATCGGTAACAATGATGTATTAAACTTTTTACATCTATTGTCATTAACCATCAAATATTCTCTACGGTGTTTTAGTTTTCATTCTCTTCTCAATATGTAGTTCAATGAAAGGTTTCGGGAAGCAATTGTTGACCAAAATATCCGTAATAATTCTGATGTTATTAGTGTGAAAGCATTCATTTGAGAGTAATAAAGCTTTGTCGACTAAACTTCTAATCGTGTTGATTTTGTACTGAAGGGGGTGGTTAAAAAGGAAATTTAGATATCTACCAGAAAAAATAGGTTTTCTGTAATTAAATTGTACTGGCCAGTTAGGTCAAAATTTCAATAAATTTGTATGGTTTTACTCATCACTGGCGACTTCATTAATTTTATCGTTATATATTAAAATATATTTTAATTGCAATAAGTTTTAAAGTAACAAATAATTAAATTTTAATATCATTAGAATATTATTTAGCAGAGCGCCAAGTTTTTTTAACTAAAATTTTATTTTTTTCTAGCCACATCATTTGTTTTATTTTTTTATTTTATATTAATTATAAATTTGCATAAATTTTCAAATTTTAACTTTTTGTAAAAATTTTTATTTATTTGCGCAATTTTAAATTTTTACTAGTTCATTGTACGACTCTATATATGTTTGCAATTTTAATTTTCCACTGGTACAAGTTTCACTTCTACTTTCACTTAGTGCAATTTTTTTATGTCATTACTTTTGTAGTAAGATTCTACATGGGTTTACAATGGATAATTTTTCATATAATTCTTTACATAAGTTTACAATGATTTATTTTGTATAGAATTCTACATGGGTTTGCAATGATTAAGTTTTCATAGAGTTCTACATGAGTTTGCAATGATTAACAACTAAGATTAAATTACGGCTCTGTAATTTATTAAATATAAATCTAAAATCGCAAGAAAAGCGTAAAGAGCCATACGCGGATGTTGCTGCGTACATTTTCAACAAAACTAAGTTTTCGTTGGAAATAAATCGTGTACAAGGCACGTATTATTCTCGGTGTATTACCAAGACTTAAAATTTTTAGGTCTTGGTAGTAAACACGCCGGCAAATAGGCATCATTTAGAGTATAAGCAGAGAAAGGTATAAAATCGAAGAGTCTGAATAGCTCAGTTGGAAGAGCAGTCGCCCGGCAAGCGAAAGATCTCGGGTTCGATTCCCGATTCAGCGACTTTTGGATCTAGATTTTTCTCTCGCAATTATTTATTTATTTCCGTAGGGGGGTTAGGGGGTATTTGAAATTAAATCTCAAGTATGAGATTATTTCAAAAATTTTAAGTCTTAGTAGTACACCGAGAATAATACGTGCCTTGTGCACGGTTTATTTCCAACGAAAACTTAGTTTCGTTGAAAATGTACGCAGCAACATCCGCGTATGGCTCTTTACGCCTTTCTTGCGATTTTAGATTTGCAATGATTAATTTTTCATAGAATTCTACATGAGTTTTGCATGGGTAATTTTTTGTTACTGGCATGCCGTTAACTGGGCGCCTTTCTTACCTTTTTTCAGAAAAACATCAAACAAAATTTTTCCAAAGTCTTAAACCGAAAACACTTAAAAGTTATACAAAACTATTTTTTTTTTTTGGTATTGTTAAAATATTTACTTTTTTGTTCGTCAGAATAAATTCTTTTAATTGTTCCAAATAATGTCCTGTCCATGAATCAAGCAGTAACAGACTTTTTTCTCTTTCGTATTTCGTCTTTATTTTATTTCTCAAGAACTAATTTCCGCAACATAACTTTATTATATTTATACATATATAGTTGAATTTGGCGTAATACATAAGCTTTAAAATATATATAATTTTAAAATTTTCTCAAAATATAAAAAAATATTGAGTGGGAAAGGATAGTTTGAAAAATTATATCATTTTTTAAAAATCCAAATACGCCATTGTAAAGTACATTTGAAGCCAAACTTTTGTATAACATTGAAATCTTTTATATTTCTATTCGTCTCGACGATATTTGCTTCGGAATGTAAAAACAGATTTTTCGACGATTGGTTGCACCTCTAAACCTATTTTTAGCAGTAACAAAAATGGTTTCGTTATTAGACCTATTACCCTAAAATTGTGCTGAGTTTCAAATTTTTAAAATTTTCAACTTACCGAACGTTCCTTGTCAGCCAAATATAAACTTGTATCAATTTTGCAAATTATTATTTGATTTGATATATAGAATCACTTTTGTATTTTGAAGGATGCATAGTCAAAACGATTTAGTCCTGATATTAAAAGGATTAAAAGTCGAAAAATTTGGCCCGGGTCGAGACATTAAAATGACATCAATTTTTAATACAAGATCTAAATCGTTTTGACTAGATTAGATCTGCAAAATTAGAATCTGCAAAAGTAATACAAAATATATGGCTGAGTAGCTTTTTTAAATATTTAAAATAATAAAACTTTATTTATATAATACAGGAATTTTGAATCGGCCAATAGAGCCCAAGCGCGAAAAATTAATTTTTCGGAACTGTATCTCTTGGTTTGAGATTACTAAGTTCCATATATAAATTAATCTCAAACTTACATATGGAGAAAAATAGGCGAAAAAAATATAGGTCCGAAAAGTCCCTGAAGCAGGAATCGAACCCGCGTCTTTCACTTTCCGAGCAACTGCTCTTACCAACTAAGCTATTCAGACCCTTTCGATCCTATATTTTTCATTTGCCTTTTTAGTAGATGTTAGTAAATAACGCCATGATTAGGTCCAGGCGTAAATAAAATCAGATAAGAAATATATGTCGGCTCTCAATATTATTAATAATAATAATACATAAATTTAAAATCAGCCAATAAAGCCCAAGCGTTATTTACTAACATCTACTAAAAAGGCAAATGAAAAATATAGGATCGAAAGGGTCTGAATAGCTTAGTTGGTAAGAACAGTCGCCCGGAAAGTGAAAGACGCGGGTTCGATTCCCGCTTCAGCGACTTTTCGGACCTATATTTTTCTCGTTTATCTTTCTCCATATGTAAGTTCAAGATTAATTTATATATGGAACTTAGTAATCTCAAACCAAGAGATATAGTTCCGAAGAATTAATTTTTCGCGCTTGGGCTCTATTGGCCGATTTAAAATTCATGTATTATTATTATTAATAATATTGAGAGCCGATATATATTTCTTATCTGATTTTATTTATATACTTTAATTTTTATTTATTTGGCGCAGCTTTTTGATGTCATAATTATTTTATAGAATTTTTTATATAACTGAATTTTGTAGAACAATTTCTTGTGGGACAATTTCTTAGTAATTAAAAAATAACATTGTTTTTTTTATCATAATATTTTTACTTGGCGCTTTTTTACCTTTTTTTAAAAAGGTAAGTTATTTTATGGAAGTATAGTCTTACATTTATTTAAATACATTTTCTTGCAATACAATAGAAGCTTCTTTGCAGCATTAAAATATTTGTGTCGCATTATATTTATTTTGACCTATTTAAATTTAAAATTCTAATAATATCCGTTGAACTTTGATTTATTTAAATCCTACATTTATTTAAATACATTTTCTTGCAATACAATAGAAGCTGCTTCGTAGCATTAAAATATTTGTGTCGCATTATATCTATTTTGACCTATTTAAATTCAAAATTCATATAATATCCGTTAAACTTTGATACCGCATGCAATGTGTTAATTCAAATTGAATGAATAATCTATTTTATTTTGCATATTCTATTTTGATAAATAAAAAGTCAAGGTTTTTAAGCTTATTAATATTTATAGTTTATTAGCATTTACACTTTACACATACACATTTATTAGTATTTATACCTTAAACATACACTATTTTGAAAATTTTATTAGTTAATTTGCATTATATTAATAAAAAATGTCAGGGTTGGGAAAGTTACTTTGTAAAAATAACTAGTTACAGTTACAGTTATCTTATTGAAACAGTAACTAGTTACAGTTAC